AGATTGCTTATAAAGCATGTGAAGAGCAGAATGAAGGACAAGTCTGGATTCTACCTTCCATGAGTTTTTATGCTCCCTGGGAGCAAGACTCTCCATGATGGACTCTAGATGTAATTCACTAGTGCTCCACTTTTTATTAAGTTATATTATGTTTAACAATAAGGGAGAAGATTTAGTTTTACCCCTTAGGAAACAATAAAAATGTAAGATTTTTAGCCACATATGTTGTTTTGTCTCAGGGAAACAAAAATCCTCAAATATAACTTAGAAAAATTCAATACTAAGTATGCAATTGGACACCTGTGATTTTTAACACGTATTTCTTGTGGTTGTTTTGTGACCCCACATCTGTACACACAGTGACTACAGGCACACAAATCACATTTGTGATAGAGATAAGAGCATTTTATTCCAAATCAGAGCATTTGACAACTTCAAAACACTTCCAATATCACTTAGTTAAAATCTCAGGGGGAGTTACCCATCAATGTGTGAGCATAGAACTGACAAGGCCTTTTATACCCAGCACAGGGTTCTTTTCCTACAGGACACCAGCAGCAGTCCAATTAGATGTTTGTTTATTTTTTTTTATTGAGGTAATGTTGGTATACAACACTGTATATGGTTCAGAAGTATAGAAGTATACTATACATCTTTGGATGTATGTTACCATATCACACTTAAATGGGTAGAATAAGAAAGAAAGACTCAAAGATGATAATATTTTAATCATGAAACACTTTGACCTTGGAGCCTCCCACCTTAACTTACAGATGTCACACAGGATGCGGGAGCTCCAGTTTGAATCTTGTCCCCAGCATTTTCTAACTGTGTGACAAAGTCATACCAGTCAGTTAACGCTCTGAGCCCCGGCTTCTTCAACTGTAAAATGCGGGTAATGATCAACTCAGAGCTGTGGTGTAGACAGTGAGATGACTGGGTGCCTGGGATGTGTGAGATTCAGAGGGACTCTGTGTAGTCAATCCTCTCTATGTTTCTGGTCCCACAAAGAACTCTGTTGAGAAAGTAGGAATACACAGAAATTAATGGAAAAATGCAACATGTAGACTCTAAGTTAAGTTTTAGTAAAGGGTAATGTCACTGGAGTAGATATTAAGAACATGAGGAGGCATTTCTCTGCTCATAAAGTGTTTACTCACGGTACTTGCTTAAAACCAACTTCTGGAGTACGCATTTTTTATCATGTTAAAACATGTAATCACAAATATGTCCTGAAGGAGCCACATTCTAAAGGAAAAACAACAAGAACAGCAAATCAACCCGATCCAGGGGACACAATGGACATTGCTTTGCAATCATAAAACTGTGAATCAGCCAAAGTTGATCAAAACAAAATGCACTTTTAATTCATTTTAGTTCATTCTCATTTTCCTGTAATTCACAGACAATTGTTTTTAGTTAAAGTTTCTGTTTAAATATGGGATGAAGATTGGATTCCACGACACTAGGGCCAGCATCCTGGCTGAGATTGTTTTTACCTCTTAAGTTTCATTTTGGATCAGACACCACCAGTTAACATTTAACTGCTGCTCAGTGGTTTTTTTTTTTTTTTTTTTTAATGTTAGTATTGCTTTTGCAAGGAACATCAGAAAGCTAGAAGGGGTAGTGCCTTCATTTGACAAATGCTGTATTTTTCCTAAGAGATAGAAATATACCTCATTGAAAGAAATCCATGTCACTTTTTTTTATTGATTCATTTCCTTCTTCTTGGCTTGTCTGTAAGAACACTTCAGCTTGACATTTGAGGCTGACCTAAATCTGGCATCCACTGCTCTTTGAGGAAACACCTACCCCAAAGCCTCTACCTTACCCACTTTCCCAGTTTCCCTCACAGTGGTTCAACCTCCCACAGCCGTGGGCTCCCTTGGGCTTTCAGGCCTGGGGGGGTGGTGGAGGGTGGGGCGCTCATTTACATATTTATAGCCCTTTGTCCTCAGTACTGGCTTTTATGGGTTAACTTTTCATATGTATGTAATACTAACACCCAGCAGGTCTGTAAGTGCCTTAGGGTTAATGACAGGTAGAACTGGTACTTAAAATTTGTTGATTAAGATATTCACACTTAAAATGCATCATTTTCGACCTTTTAAATACTACTTGATAAGCCATCTCATAACTTGAAAGGATACTCCAGACATGTACTAGACAAGGAACAAACTTTACAAGGATGCTAGCAAGGCTTTGTCCCCTTTCAGAAACATGGGAGGATGAAGCCTTTGAAAAGAACGGGTGGGGTCAAAAGTCAACAAAGGCTGATTCTTCAATCCAAGGAACATTTTAGGTACTGCAAGAACTCCATGGTAAGGAAGAAGAAAAAAAGTCTGGGATACTGTCATTTTCTATTTTTAATGTCCAGAATGGCAATAAGCAAATAGAGCCGATCAAATGTTAAAGAACAGAAAACATATTTCCATGTGTGTGGTTGATTAACTACTGATGTTGAGTGTGGAACTACTTTTAGTGTCAAATTAGGTGCCATAATTCTTCACAGTGAAGAGATGTTATACGAGCCCCCAACCAGAAGCTCCCCCACAACTATCTCGGGACCACTCTGTAACTTGTGAATATCCTATTACAGTATTTGTAACAGTGTCATTCATTTTTAGATTTTTAAGCTTCTTGAGGGCAAATGATGTAGTCCAAGATTGTTGGAATTCCTCATTGCACTTGTGCTGGGTATGAGCAGTGTCCAGGGGGCCTGAATACCTGCAGGAGGGGGAGGGAATCGAGCACACTGGCTGCCTGAGGAGAAGCCTGGTCTCCAGGCAGAGCCGGCGCCTGGGGGGTGCAGCAGGGTCCTACCCTGAAGCGTCAGCTCTCTCTGAGGCCTGGCCGCTCACGGCCACCTCAAGTGTCTGTCGCACATCCGAGGTGCGCACAGTCCCTGGTGCATCCCCAGCACTTAAGACCTTTTTGGAAACCATTTTTAGAGAGCGCCTACCCGTGTTAAGTGCTGTTTTCTGGGTCTTGGGAATTTCAAAGAGAATAAAGTCCCAGCTCTCATGGGGCCTAGCGTGGGGGGCGGTGATCCACAAATCTACCCGCAGTGGGTGGATGTGTCAGGTGGAAGGAAGCGCGAGGAAAGAGCTCAGAGCGCGGGAGCAGAGGACAAGGCAGGGTGCGTGGACACAGAGGGGCGTGTGTAGACAGAGGGTGCGCGCGCGTGGTTTTACAGGGAGCCAAGAGGCGCCTTCTCCGGTCAGACCCTGGAAAGCGTGGGCGCCAGGCTGGCGGATGTCGGGGAAGGGGTGCAAGGCTCCTCGGGGACACAGCAATGGCAAAGCCCTGGAGCAGAAAGCCCCGGCCTCCTTCCGCCTCCAGAGGGGCCTCAGAGGCTGGAGACGAAGGGCCGGGGAAGAGGACATGGGCGAGGCGAGCCCGGCGGCAGGGGGCCAGGCTTTGTGGGGACTCCCCAGCCTTGGTGAAGTCGAGGGTGCCCCCTCCCCCACCCCGGGAACCACGAGGATGCGTGGAGAGGAGCGAAGCGCGCCGCGGGGTCCGGCGGGCGAAGCAGCAGCTCCCAGGCGGACGGCAGCCCTCGGGGCCCGGGAGGGGAGCGGGCCTCGCCCATTCCCAGGTCCCGGGCGCAGAGGGCGGGCCCCGTCCGACGCTCGGCCTCTCCTCCCGCCCAGGGCCGGCGGGGCCGAGCACGCGGCTGCAGCACGCGAGCCCCGGCCCGGCTTCCCGGCCACGTCGCGGCCCCGCCTACCCCCGGGCCGGGCCGCCGAGGCGCGAGCGGCGCAGGTCGGGCCCGGCCCGGGGACCCCAGCGCGGGCTCGGCGGGGGCAGGAGCGCGTGGGCAGCGCCGCCCCGAGCGCCCGTGCGGGCCGAGCGAGCCCGCGGCCAGCGCCGCGCGGCGGGACCGGCGGCCTCGAGGCGACCGCGGTGCCGCCCGCCCAGCGCCCGGCCGCCCCCGGGTTCCCCCCGGCGCCGCGCCCCGGGAAGCGCGCACCCCAGAGAGGCGCGGGGCAGCCGGGCGGGCCCGCCGCGGGGGAGCCGGCACGACGCGGGCCCCGCACGCCCCCGGCGGCGCCGCCCCGGCCCGAGCCCGACGGCCGGGCCCCGCCCCGCCCCACGCAGGCGCGCGCAGGCCCCGCCCCCAGCCCGCGCGGGGCCCGGCGGGGCGGAGCGACCCTCGGAAGGGGCGTGGCCGCCGGGCTCGCCGCGCGCACGCGCGCTCCGGCCTGACGGCGACGTGTCGGGCCACGTGACGCCCACCCCGAAAGTCCCCCGTGAAGCAACAGGACGTTAAAAAAACCCGGGGGGGGCGCGGGGAGACCGGTGAGAGGCCGCCCGCCGGCGACCGTACCGGGCGGCGCGGCCCCGGCGCGGCCCGCCGAGCGCCTCGCCCTCGCGCCCGCCGCCGCCGCCGCCCGCCCGCGCCCGCCCGCCGGCCCGCGCGCGAGGCGGCCTCGCCCCCGCCCAGTGCCAAGCACGCTCGGCCCCCGCCCGGCCCCGCCGCCGCCGCCGCCGCCGAGCCCCGCCGGAGGGCGCCCCGGCCCGGGCGGCGGCGGGAGGAGGAGCGCGCCCCGGCCCCGTAACGGCCGCCCCGGCCCCGCCCGCCGCCCGCCCCCGGCCCTCCCCGCCGCCCCTCCCCCCGCCGCCAGCGCCGCCTGAACTGAGGCGAACTCCGCCGCCAAGTGAGTGAGGAGGCGGCGGCGCGGAGGAAGAGGAGGAGCGGAGCGGCCGAGCGGACAGCGCCGCCCGAGCGCCGCAGCCCCAGGCCGAGCAGCCGGCGCGGCGCGGAGGGCGCAGCCAGCAGCGGGGCCCCTCGTCGCGCCCGCGCCACCGCGACCGCCGCCCGGGCTCGCGAGGGACGCGCCGCGCCGGGAGCGGCCCGGGAGCGCGGCGGCCGCGGGCGGCCAGCGCCGGCGGGCGGGAGCGGCGCGCGGTCCGGCCGGCCGCCCGGCGCGGGAGCGGCGCGGGACCCGGCGCGGCCCGGCCCGGCCCGACCCGAGCGGCCGGCGCCGGCGGCCCGCCCCTCGCGGCTCCTCGGCGGCGGCGGCGCGGGCGGCGGAGCCTGGAATATGGTCGGGGAAATGGAAACGAAGGAGAAGCCGAAGCCCACCCCGGATTACCTGATGCAGCTGATGAACGACAAGAAGCTCATGAGCAGCCTGCCCAACTTCTGCGGGATCTTCAACCACCTCGAGCGGCTGCTGGACGAAGGTGAGCCGCGCCGGCCCGACGCCCCGGGCGGGCGGGCGGGCGGGGGGCGGCGGCGGGGGGCGGCTCGCGGCGGCCCCGGCGCCCGCGCCGCCACCCGCGCTCGCGTCCGCCCGGCGCCCGGGGCCGGCGGCGGCGGGGGCGCGGGCGGGCGGGGCCCGGGACGCCCGGCCGACGGCGCTCGGGGCGGCCCTTTTGTCCGGGCGGCGCCGCGCCGGGGCCGGGACCTCCGTCTCGGGGCGGCGGGCGCGACCCCCGGCCGGCGGCGCGGGCCCGACTTGGGGAACTTGGGGAGCGCGGCCCGCGGGCCCCGAGCGGGCGCCCGGCCCGAGGCGGCGGGCGGCGGGGCGGCCCCGGGGCCGGGCGGCCGCGCTCCCCGGGCGGGCGGCGCGCCGGCCCGCGGCCCCTCGGCCGGGAACAAAGCCCCGCGGGCGGCTCGCCCGGCGTCGGGTCCCGGCGCGGCCCCGCGGCCGGAGTTGGGGTGTGACTCCAGAACAAAAGGCCGGAAGCGTCCGCGCGCCCGGGGACGGGGACGGCGATCCCGGCGCCTCTGCGGCCGGGGGAGTCGGGGGGCAACTTCCGAAGTCGGGGCGCGGGCCGGGGCCCGGGCGGACCCCCGCGCGGCCCGGCCCCGGCGAGGCGCGAGCGGGCCCTTTAAGGGGCGCCGCTCCCGCGGGCGCCGGCGTCGGGGCGAGTGTGGAGGCAGAAAACTTTCTGGAATGTCAGGAAAAAAAACCGCTGGAACTCGGGGCGGCGCTGCCGCGCGCGGGCGCTAAGGGGCGCCAGCCGGCCGGCCGGCGCGGGCGCGGGGAGTCCCGGCGGCGCCCGGCCCTGCGCCCCGCGGCCGCGGGCGGGGAGTGCCCTGGAAACGCCCGCGCGGCCGGTCGCGGCCCCGGCCCGCGCGGGGGCTGTGAGGAGGCGAGGCCGGCCCGTCGCGCAGGGCGCCCCCGCCCGCCCGCTCGGCCCCGCGGCCTCGGGGAGCGCGGGCGGGGGCGGCGCGGCCAGGAGCGAGCCCGGCCGGGAGCCGCGGCCGCGGGGCGGCGCGGCGCGGGGGTGCCCTGCGCGGCTCCCCGCGGCCGGCGTCTCCACACCCGGCGGCCCGCGGGGCGCCCTTGCGCGTGTCCCTGCGCCGGGAGGTCGCGGCCGGGGGCTCGCGGGCCGGGGCGGCGTCCGGGGCGGCGGCGCGAGAAGTTCGCTCCCCGCAGCCGCGGGCCCGGCCGCTCCCCGAGGGCCCCGCGGGCGGGCGGGCCTCGCCTCCCCGAGGACAAGTGGGGGCTCCCGGGGTGCCCCGCCGGCGCGCGCTGTGCGCGGGCAGTGAGTTCCTCGCGGAATCTGGCACGTTGTCTTTTTTTTTGACTCCCTCGTGGCCCGTCCCGGTCCCGGGCGAGTCCACCGCGCTCCTCCGGGGCCGGCGCTCGCCGCCGCTCGCCGGGGCTGACCGGGACGTCGCCTCAGGCTTTCGCTACACCGAGTGTGGCTGCAGCGACGGGTCTCCGTGAGCGGACGCGGCCCGCCCCGGCGCGGCCCCTGAGGAGGGGCCGGGGGAAGCGTCGGCAGTTTCAGTTCTGAGTGTGTGGCGGGAGTGAGTTTAGCAAATTGACTCAGTTTGAGAATTTTGATTTAAATTAGTTACAAATTTGGGATTCAGGGGTCGGATTCTCCTGAGTGATTAAGACTTGAAGGCTTCGACCAGGCGTTTCGATTCCGTGCCGGGCTCACCTTCGGCCTGTGGAGACCGTGGACGGGGACGGCGGCGTGTTGGCTTTCTCGGGGGGGGGGGCAGGTTTGTCAGAGTTTCCCCCAAAGTATTTTAAAGTTGTGAAACAACATTCTAGGTTGGACTCGTCTCCCAGCGGGAGAAACATCGGCTAGTAACGCCAGCCCCGGGAGCAGCTCCCTCCGGATGGACGTGAAGCCGCGGTCTCCGCACCTGACCCGCTTCCCGCTCCTTGGCGGGCTTCCAGCCAGCCCGGCCCGGGGGGAGTCTCCTTCTTCAGGAAGGGTTTCTCTGACTCTTTTTTTGTCATGAAAATAAAAGTTAAGCAACAAATACTCGAAGGTAGATTTTGTCTTTGTGTAGTACAGCGCCTGTGAAAAATAAAATCTGACTAAAAACTCCCAGATAGGGGAAGGCGGCGCGGCGGGGACTCTTGAAGTCGGAGCCTGCGTGTCCAGGCGTGGGGGTCAGCGCGGGCGCCTGGACACCCGCGCGTGGCCTCGGGAGCGGGCCTGGACCTTCTCCTGCTGAGGTCTGAGAATCAGTGGCTCGGAAAAAGTAAACAAGCATGTTGGATTCGTTTTTGTATTACTGAATTGAAAAGTACATTTTTACTTTCTTACGAACATTTTTTGGGTGGGGCAAGTGATGCATTTTCTTTGGGACTAGGTTTAGTTTCTCATTCCACCCCGTCTCCTTAGACATGTAGACCAGGAATATTGTAAATGAAAATTTGCCCTACGAGTTGATATTTCTCTGTGTTAAGGTTTCTTCCCATGTGTGCATTTTATTATTGAATGTATCATGCCCTCAGTTTTCTTCACATTTCAATTTTTTTTAAAAACATTGCTTGTGTATAAAAGCTGTGGTTTAAAAATTATAGGACTGCTTGTTGGTATGAACGGGATTCTTGCTTATCAGAGTACGGTTTTAGGGTTCCCTCTCCCCAAGAATCTTGGTATTGTTGACAGTAATCAGTTTCTGTGACAAACACATTTTACATCAGTTGAAGCGTAATTTATCTGCTTTAGGAGAAAGGGTTTGGCTTTGTACACAGAGTTTTTGAATTAGTAGTAATAAGAAGGGAGCCAATTTTTATAATTAATTGTTCTTTCCATTTTTTTCCTCCTCGCCCGGGAGGCGTCGCCAGCTATACAAGGTGCTAGGGAAATGGTAATTTGTTTCAGAGGTCATTTATTCAGCATTCATTCTGCTCTTTTGACGCCTAACTCCCCTGTAGGCAGAATACACACTCAGAGCCCACCTACTTTCTGTGATGCAGGAGGTGATTCCTTTTTTTAAACTTTATCCAATTTGTATGTTTTGTAGGAAGCGTACCCCCAAGGATACAGTGTAATTGAGTTAATAGAAACAGGTCTCTTGCTTAATCTCAGTTTCTTCCTGTGTTTGGTATGATACTTTTTCTTAAATGGTCCTGAGAATATCAAGTGAAAACAAGTTAAATTAATTTCTTAATGTTTTATACACGTTACATTTCTGTGTATATGTTCCGTTCACTAATCACCTGCTGAAGCTGAAGTGCATGCATCCGTTTTTTCCTCAGAACAATAGATAACTTTTAAAGACAGATTCTTGCCACAGAGTGGCATAAAGTGCCTGCCCCCTGCAAATCCCCCATCTTTCCTTTGACCTTGCCTGTAAGGAGACGCACAGACTGAGCGCGGTAGACGTGCACCCGGAAGGTTTCTGTCTTCAGTTGTCTTTGGTGTTGAAAGAGTCACAACAGCGTGATCACAGGGGCAGCTCTGGAACTACATTTTGATTTACTTGATATGTTCGATGTAGCTAACACAACGTGTTTGGTTTATGATGGTACAGTTTTAAGTAAAACTTGCCCTTTTCCATTGGAGAAGGAAAATGCTGTACCATTGTTGAGCTTTATTGATAACTGAAAAGACAGAACTTAAAAAATTGTAGAATGAGCAATTTTCAGCTATTGCTGTGTTAACTATTGTGAAAATATGCAAAGGTCTATTTTAGGGCGCAGGGTTGGGGTAGTGTGTGTGTGGGGCCCTGTCAGGAAGTCACAATAGAATAACATGCTTATTTTTATTTATGTGATCAGCAGGACTTATCATTTTCTCCGACACCTTTTTCTTTTTCTTTTTTGTATGACATTAAGACAGTTGAATGTGAATTTTAAGTGCAGTAATGTATTTCTCCCTTAATGAGAACTTACAGGGGGTGCTTACACTCCTTTTAAAAATTGGCATTTCAGTTCTAGGGCCCAAAATAGCTATAGATTGTTTGATGTCCAAGTAAGATATTCCCAGCTTTGTTTTCATTTAACAGAAAGTAAAAACGGTCTAACTTTTCATAGGGAGTAGTTTGTTTTGTTAGTGGACTGTGTTAAGTTTTACTATAACTATAACCTCAGTCTGTGCTAGTACCTCTGTGTAGCTATCATATTAAAAAAAAATAAGATTCTTATGTATCTCTTTTTGTGTCTGGTTTATGCTGTTAGAATTAGTTCCTTGAAGGGGAGGGGGCACCTTATAGCCTGTTTCACACTCAGGTATTTGTTGAATTAATAAATTAGTTGACATTTTTCCCCTTTTTTGTGTTTTATAAAGACTTGGTGGTAGGTCTGGACAATTAGAAAGTGTTTTTGTCTTACAAGTTTTGCTAGAAGACTTACAATGTTATTTGCACTACTTGCCCTTAAGAAGCTTAATCTTAATTGAACTTTACTACCGTCCGTATGGATGAGAATGGAAGATAAAATCGCTTTATTTAAGCGGTAGTTATGTATCAATCCATAGCAGTGAAGAAGCTATCAGAATTTAGCTCTTGAACATTTTCACATTTATGGGATTATATAGGTAAACCTTTTCCCTGGTCAGCTACTGTCAGGGGCAGCTTCACCTGATACGTCTTAGAGGACCCGTGCATGGCCCAGGCACAATTGATCGGAAAGATTCCTGTTCCCTAAGTGCTGCTTTGATATGTTCAGGATAAATAAGGATTATCTGAATGGTTTTAGTTGAGAGAGTGCTGAGCATAGATGTGGTAGTTACAGTAATTAAGCACAAATAGCAATTTTTTGAACACAGGTGTTTTCTTTAAGCTAATTTGAAGCAGTGCCATTACTTAGAAGACTGATAAATTGAAATTTTGAGTTAACTAAAAGTTAATCTTCTTAAAAGAAGTTTTACTTTTCTGCTTTAGCTGTAACAATATTTTAAAATAAATCTGAGTTTTTAACAGACATGTAGCTTATAAAAGATGATTTGTCCAGGATTCTTGTAATCCTGAAGCACAAGCT